CAATGCACTTTTATCCCCTGTATGGGAGAAGCAGAAAAAGCTCCTCTCAGGGCAATGCACACTTTCAAAGCAGTTCCCTCCAGGCAGCATGAATTTAAATGTTTGCTTGCTATGCTTTTAGAAGTTAAAAGGCTACCTCAGGCTGCATGACTGGATGGCTCAGGGGAGGAATTAAAAGCCTCCAACTGATCTGAACCCATGGCAAGTTATTAGATGGTCACTGCCCTCTGCAAAGATCACTCTGAAGATGCTAATTGGGCACCTCCTAGCTCACTCTTGCTGCATGGCCCAGGACTGAGTGGATGAGACAAGGAAGGGGAATTCTGCATGAGTTCAGAACTAGAGTGAAGCACATTAGCAGAATGACAGGGAGGGAACCACCTGCAGTGTGACTGCCCAAGGAGCACTAGTTCTGTGGTGGAGAGTTTCACTCCTACAGTGCTTGTGGAAGGTGTTAGGTCAGCACTTAAGCAGAGAGAGCTGGGCTATGGCACAACAGGAGAGGAGAGGGAAGCAAGCGTCAGATGTTTGGAAGTGGCTTTCTGAGCAGAGCACTAGCCGATTCAAAGGAATCACGTGAAGAAGTTTACTGGGAATTTTTACATTTAAGACTCCCATATTACTCCAACTTGCATGACTCATGCATTTCAATCTAGTCCTGTGCTTTTGACCCAAGTCACTGGCAGTACGTTACAGCATGAAAAGCCTGCCAACTTCCTTCTGAATTTGGGAAGTATCCTGGTACCATGTTAAAGCCTCTCCTGATTAGCTAGTAATTCTGGGACAAGCTTAGTCTTCAGGAGTCATTTCCTTGCAGCAGCTAGTGATTGGTCAAAAGAGACCTGCACAGAAGTTTTCCCCTACATCATGCAACTTGAAGTTGATACTGTGAATCCTGTGAGTTCGAGGGAAGAGTACCATGTATTAGTGTGCCCTAGTTACAGCTAGTGGAAGGAACTGGACTTTAGACATGCTACTGCTCTAGACCTGCTGATTACAGAAGTACAAGTTCCCTGCATTAAGAAATTGATCTACTGCAGCAAGTTCTAGGCAGGTCATTCTTGATGGATTTTGTTACTGTGATACTAGCTCAGTGGTAAGTGGACGCTTAAAAAAAAAAAAAAAAAA